ACACACAAACGTTTTAAAAAATTCAAGTATTACAGTATATTTTTTAATTAAGAACTTTCAAATGGTATACCCTGAGCCTTTTCAAAACAGCCTCCACATGAACTAAGGTATCCTTCCCTTTTGAAGATGATGGCTAAGGCCAGCCTCAGGAGAATATGTATTATGAGCTGTTTTTCTGGTAAAAGTGATGCATCCAAGTTAATCCTTCCCTCACCCTCTCTTGAGTACTCTCTGTGGACAAGAGGCACAAATTGTGAGCCATTTAGTTGGAGCTCAGATAAAATCTGTATCCATAAAGAAAAGGAAGCTAACTGCCCAATATAGGAAATGAATTATTGCCTTTGACCTCTTACTAAATGTGTTTTTATCTACTGAGCTAACTCTAGCCAATGACCACATAGGAACTAATTCTTATGGGAAATCTGAGGGAAAAAAAGAGCCATCTCGAGTAGAAACTATCCTTTTTCTAAGAGTCTAAGTTCATTTTGGAGATAACCAACAGTCACTTAATTCACTTTCTTAACACAAGATCACAGTTCAAAGGGTCACAGTTCAAAGGAAAAGTAGGCGGCAATAAATTCAGAAACATCATCGCTGTGCAGTCAGGATGAATTCCTGTTGCTGAGTAAAAGGAGTCTATTTTGGAGATGTTATTTTCCCATCCGAATACTGTGTTCTAGACTCCAATTTGTGAAAGAGTAAATAAGCTCTCCTAGCATACCTTTATATAACATCCACACAATGATAAGCCCATTTTGATCACTGGTAGTCAACTTCTGATACTGTTCATTCCATATTACAACTTGAACAGAACCTAGAACATTACGAAACAATTTAGATACTTTAAAAAGGCTACAATTAATTTGAAATTTATATTTTTATATACATAAACACCAAGAGCACAATAAAATCAATACAGTTTCTATGCAACTAACCAGTCTTCAACATTACTTAAAAATATTCATAGGACACGGTTACTGACATCACTAATTTTCTATAACAATGCATAATGCTATTTTTCATGTCTATCCCTGTATTTCATGCCAGCAAAGGTGCCTATCATGGCCAGTTCCAAGAGCTGCCATATAACTGATAACAGAAACAAATGTAAGCATGATCTACCCAATTGGCCTGACTCCCAAAAAAAATGATGTCCAAAGGACAACATACTAAGTACTTGGTATTTTGGGTTTCTTGTCGCTATTTGTTGATATGTCCCATAATCTCTCTCCTTCCCTGCCCCCCCCATTTTCCATTCCATTAGCAACACACTCTTAAGCATATCTTAAACCTCTAGGTTATATAAATAATAGATTTCTTTTCATTTTTTTATCCCTAAATACTTTAATGTATATTTCCTAAGAATAAGGACATTCTCTTTCATAACCATATTACAAATTAGGAAATTTAACATTGATACAATATTATTATCTAACTCATATTCTGTATTCAAATTTTGTCAATTGTCCAAATAATGTTATTTTATAGATACTTGTTTTTCTTATTCCAAGATCCAATCTAAGATCACACAGTGCATTCAGTTGTTATGTCTCTTTAGTCTTCTTTAATCTGGAATCATAGGACAGATTCTAAAAAGGATTATATATATA